TTTTTTATTCTCTCCCCCATCCCACTGGGTGGAAGGAGTAAGCAAGCAGCTGCATGGTGCCGGCTGCAGTTAAGCACGACAGCATCTCTTTTAACAGTATTAAGTGAGAGAAGCAGCAAGAATGCAAAGGAGACCTGAATGCAATACTCCCTGGTCCCAATGCCTCAGGAGAGGCACTTGGCATGTCCCAAACCAAAAAAAAGCCAATGTGCTTCACCATACTTATATCACAGCTACAATATTATTTCAAAAGCTAAAAAAGTACTACTCCAAAAATGAAGTGACAGAATTGAATACGGTCTACCTGTACTGCAAGACTCACAAAGGCATTTATAGTATTTACTTGGGCATCAAATTACACTTTGAAATCAGTGGGAACTTAGGCATCTAGGCATCTCTGTGGATCAGATTCACAGAGTTCAGTTTTCCAAGAAAAGCACATACAGCTTTCACAAGTAACCATAAGTTCAAAGATCTCTCTCTCACTATTAAGCAGCTTGCTCAGGATTAAAAGTTTATCAAAACCTGAGGAGAAAAAGGAAAAGACCAAAACCAGAACACCCCCCTAAAACACTACTCGATTTATTTTAAAGAAATGTGTGGCAATTTTACAAAAGCTCGAACTCCCATCATAAAAAACTCAAGTGCAATAGAAATAAGGATCAAATGCTGAATACAACAAACTTTTCATGAATGCGATAGCTAGTATTTTACACAATATAATCAAGAATTCAAGCTTACCTTGAATTCTTTCACCTTTTCCATGGTTATCAGGCGCCTTGATGTGTGGCTGGAAAGCATCTGCTCACAGTTGCTAATAAGTTTCAGGCATGGGTGGCGGGGAATGATCTCTTCTGTGTATCTGGAAGAAATAAACATTCATAGAGCTGTAAGCTCATGAATTGGAAGACTTGCGTCTGAAACTAAATTCATACAGATTCTTCACAAAATGGCTTACACTAGAAAGTTGCTATGCATTTTAATCTATTAAAGAAATTCAGGTATTGGTGCTCCAGAGTTTTTACATCATGTATTCCAATCATCTTGTGACATAAAACGTGTAGAATAAATTAAAACCTCACAGTAAAGACACACACCCACACACATTTCCTACATGTATTTACATGATGTTAATGTATGCACACAGGCCTGCCTGTATAATTTCAAGTAGAAAATTCCTCAGGCTATCAGAAATAATAACTTATCCAATCAGAGCTGTAATTTTAAAAATGTATTCCACAGTCAACATATATAAAGTTGCAGGAACAACAGACTTAACTCTGGCTCCCTAAAAGGAGACCATTGTGCTTCAATTCCAAAACGTATTAAACCAGCTCTCATTAGACAGTGACATTCCTGGACTTCAAAATTTGGTGTTACAAGTTTATCACATTGTAATTACTTTTTCTGAAGGGAAGAAACAAAAATCAATTATCTTTTAACATCAGATGGTAGCAACACTGGCTTGCAATTAAATCCTATCTACAGAAGCAAGCAGTTAGTGTTTTAAATGCCCCCATCTCATAAGCATACTACTTTCTATAGAAACAGCTTTCTCTAGATTGCTTTCAATCTCTCCAAATGCTGGAAGAGGAATTTAAGGATTTAAGGGCTTTGCGTGGGACTGCAGGAGCTAGAAGCATTGACCTAGCTAGTAAGTATGAGAACAGACATCCTTCCTATATACTGAAATATAGATCAGCTATTTAGTCTTAGTTTTTGTAATAAACTTTCCTGTAATAGTTACAACATAATACTGAAAATGGTATATGGTATTGTCAGTGATTATGATTTCATGTAAAATGCTTGCTCTCATGATGCCCCAATGCTTGGGGGTCAGTCAACAGAAGTCAGACATTAAAAAGCAGAACAACTTTCACACCTATCACTTGAAGTTAAAAGGTACAAAGGAGGAGCTTCACATTTTTCCTGTGAAGGAGTAGATTTTCTGAATGCACTTCACAAAATAAATGTATTGTTCTGGGAAAAAGAGAAGTCACATGTAACACAACTCAAAATAGAATCCATCCAGCTGCTGATGGAAATCTTGACATTTCTTAAAGATAATATGAGCTGTTAAACAAGTAAGACAATACCAAATACAGACTTGTAAATAGGAAAAAAAACAAACAGTACTGCCTCTTTGCATTGTTGCAAAACGTCCAGATCGCAAACAACCTTTCAGTTGCTTCTCACATGTGGAATCAAGCCACTACTTTTGCTAGGTGAAGTCAGAACATGCTTCTGACAAAGGAGAATCAAATTAATTCTCAGCTGTTTTTTCTATTACACAAGACTTTTGATGCATCTAGTACCACCAAACTGCCTCTTTCTCTTACAAAGGTAGGCACTCTGCCACATCTTAAAAGTCTCTCTTCATAACCATATAAAAGCCTGACTGCAAAGGAATTAAAAGAATTCAGACTCAACAATGATTTCAATGTCAGATTGAAAGAGTAAACTTTGGAGCAAGATGCTATCTTGCAGAGGGAGAGATCATTATCACTTTGTTAAAAAGCCTTGTCTGTTAGCATTAATGCATATATTTCTACATTCTTTCAGGTAAAACTCAGAACGTTATCAAGTAAGAAATATAGTAGCAGTGGTTTTAACAGACATCCATTTTAATCCTGTTTCGTTTTTGAGTTAAGATAATACACAAAGATCTCGAATAACATATGAACCTGATGGCAGGTGTTGCCAAGGGATATTTGATAACAAAACATATTAGTAGACAGCATCTTATCTTCCCCTCACATACCTGCTTTAATGTTTGTTCCTGTGTTCATCATTATAGCTGAAAATAAAGTGCCTACACTAATATTCTGTGCTGATATAGTGACTCCTGTATTTCAATTCATAGTAGTATGTACAAATTCACTTTTTAAGAGGCATCCCAACTAGAGCTTGAGACAGCCAACCTCCCCAAAACAGCAACTAAAGTAGAACCAGAATATGCAGTTAATAGTTACCTAAAGTTAAACACTTTATACTGCTGTACTGAGGAAGCATGCTCTTAGCAATGTTCAGTGAGCAGACAAAAAGCTCTGGTATCTTGACAAAAAGAATAAACTCAGTAATTCCAAAGACAGTTTATTGACATGGAAGCTAAGAATTCACAACCACACATGGTCTGTCAGGGTTAAGCATGTATAGACAGACATTTTGAACAATTAGCTATAATACTGTTAACAGCATTCATTGTTTTGTTTGTGAATAGTCTTAAAAGAAAAAAAGCCTAAGATACAAATTCTATCATTAAAAAACCCCACAAGCTGCTAAGTGCACTCTTCTGTTATGGAAGCATGTAACAGAAATGGCTCCCTCTGATTTCCAAATTTTCAAAACAGCATGTGATAATTGTATGTAGGACTGTCACAAGCCATTTCCATGGTGAAACCAGGGACAACAACCACTTTATGTATCAGTATAGTTTGACTATACATAGAAACATGTGACATTGTAGAAGCTACCTTCAGAGCAAATCTACATCTGGAAGACACTTAAGTTACTGTACATCAACTCCCCACTTTACTGTGAAACAGCTTTGGGAAAAACAAAAAAAACAAAACCAAAACAAAACCCTCAAAACCTTATCTAAGAGATGCTGAAGAAAGATATGCAAACAGACGTCTTTCCTTTTAAACCCAGTTCTAATCCCAGGCTGCACTACTGAGCAGACAGCATCCTGCAGTCTCTGCTGGCCTCTCTCGTCCTTACAAGGCTGCTCCCCTACGCTTCCTGCCTCTCACTGCCATCTCTTGGTCACTTGACTTTTGATTTCTCAGAAGAAAGCTAAATTAGTAGTGCCAAACCCCAATGAGCCAAGAATGTTCTCTTACAGGACCTTGTCGTGCACCTCTATCAACTACTGTGGTAGAAACACATACTAATAAGAGCCTTGCCAGTACTATCTTAGAAATCTATCTGCACCTTGAAAGTCTAATTTTCTAAGCTTAAACTTCAACCCATTGGACATGCATTTGCAAGGACATGTGAAGGCTTTTTCTTTTTGGTAATAGTCAGGAATTATCTCCACCCAAAAACCTTATTTCAAAATCTGCTTTCCGTCCTACGAAGTTTTGAAATATGAAGTCTGAGCATTACTCTTAAGTGCTAGTACTATGGAAGTTCCAGCTCTACTATGCCCCAAAAGAAAGCACAGTGAGAATGTAGCACCCATTCTGACATACTACATACCAGAAATCAAGAATACATACTCAGGCCTGTAAATCGGCAGCCAATAAACTAATCTTCCTCCCATCACCAGATATTCTGCCGCAAACTTCAACAGGTCAAAAAAGATGTCACTTAGATGATAACTGGATGAAACGAAGATGTGATTGTCTGTGCTAAACAAAAAATTTACAAGTGTAAACATAAAAGCACATTTAAAACCTGCATTTTTAGTTAAACAACCAACAAAAAAAAAGCCTAAACAAAAAAAAACCCAAACCACAAAATAGCACTACCTGAGATTTGCAAAACTACCTAGGACAATTCAGGAGTACAACTTCTACTATGAGGAATATGACTTCCCAAATTCCTCTACTGGCTCTTTAGACTATCATCGTTAGTACTTGTGGAAGTCAAAGAATCACAAGCATGTAGGGAATAGTTATTTTGCTCAGCATCTTTCTTAAGGGCAATTTAGAGTAAAGGGCAGAAGACAAGGAAGGCCAGACAGTGCAGAAGCCATGTGTTATCTCCGAAGAGAAAGGAGCAGTGGAAATCCAACAGAGAAGATTAAGGTAAAATAGAGGTATTCCTTTTCAGACTGATTTTGCAGCTTGCAGGGACTGAAGAGAACTTTCTGAGAATATGAAACACAAGGTAATGGTGGTTTACAGAGACGAGAAATAGGATCTGAAATCTGAATACATGCAAATGATAAGCAGGGAGAACAAAAAACAAGAGGATTTCAGGAAGTTGCATACTAGTTTTGCGAACAGAACCAAAAGGGCTTTTCTGCTTTAATTATTAGTACTATCATTTTTTTTAACTGCTGACAGCCAACCAAGAAATAATAAAGATTCTAAAACTATGACCGTGTTTCCATTAAGACATTTATATTCTACAACTGACAAGACAGTTTACCTACCTTCTTTCAGCTGACTTAACTGTTTCCTTTTGTGAACCCGTTCTGCGAGTAGCTTCTCTGATACCATATGGTGCTATACAAAGCAAATGCATAATGCAGAGATGAGAACCTCACCCTTTGTCAAAATAACATACAATTATATTATACACACACAACAGTACACAAACTGTGGCTTATACAAAGTTAAAAAAAAAGAAAAGCTTTTACAAAGTGAAAGTCAGTAAGGGTAATTTCTTCAAGATCTATTAAAAGTTTCTTGCTGCAAAAGGTTACTTTAAAACTGTTTCAAAGAAAGCCCTTCAGCTGAAGAGGCTTCTAGCAGCCAGACATTTGCTACACTACAAAGGACAATGCTTTTCTGTTTTGTTCATTAAAAGATACTCCTTACATTTCCAACATGTGACAAATGATCCCATCCTCTTTTGACAGACACAAACATCTCTCCTACAGCACTTAGCTAACCTTTCTCAAAATGAAATTGTATATATTGGAATTTCTTGCCAACACATTACACAAATAGTAATTCTCGCACAGACAGAGAAGAGCCAGAGATGGCTTTCTCTCATACATTTTTGCACATTTCTAATAGCATAACATACTTATTTCATGTTCAACACATTTCTTTTTGTGAGACTTGTTTCAGCATCATGGAAGCACGCATATAACCATTTTGTAAACAAAGTAGTTGTGACACATTTGCAAACTCAGTTCTAAGTCATATTAATATTCTATATTATCTTATTGCCAAACAGGCCAAATTAAAATTAGCAGGCAACCCACAAGGAAAAGTCACACTCTACTCCTAATTAATATGAATGTGTCATCCTAAGAGCCAGCACTAGAGATCAGAAATTGCTGTATCAAGGTCTTTTATTTAATCCCTTAGCCTCTACTCCCTCTCATGCATTACAAATGTGTTAAGTACATAGGTTTCTAAAAGATCAGAGGATCCTTTCAAACTGCTAGTGCTTCTAGTAGTTAAGGGTATCAGAAATACATTAAAATTTCTCTTTGGAAACACTCCAATAAGCACTTAACATAAGTCGCCAGAAGTTCATCAGAGCTGCATGGCAGATTCCAGTGTGTTGCAGATCAAGTCCTAACACCAACATGGACCATTCTGATAAGAAGTCTCTGTGCATCAATAAAGTTATGCCTTTACTGAATGAGACTTCTTTGAAGGATGATTTTCAGCCATATTGATTTCTACTGGCAAACATAGTATTCTCTCCATGGAAGAAAGTATTATCACCAGCTCCATTACATGTTTATAACTATCTTTAAATTATGCAGATCCGATTTCCACAATGCAGCTCTCAATGGTCATCTTTTGTAATATGGAAACTGCAGATCTGAGCACTCGTCAAGACATTAAATCAATGTACATAGGCATAGATATAGGCAATGATCTTTTAGGCATCGTTATTAGGCAACATGAACAAACTTACGATCTGTAATGATTGCATCAAACAGCATCCCTTTTCGCCATATTGGTCTTGAAGAGTCAGAAACTAGTGCATCAAGGTAATATTTCTCTAAACCATACTGTCGGAGATTAGCTCTGATATTTTCATCTGGTCCTCTCCATTTCTGGTTCTTTCTGCTTGCCTTGCCTGGGGCGGAGGGGGGACATGGAACAGAAAAAAAAAGCATACTCAACAGCAAACTATTTTATAAGAAAAGCTTTCATATACTCTTATCATTTAATTTAAAGGAAAAGAATTAAATATCACATACAAACCCAGAGTTTATCTCCTGCCTTATTTTGCTCACTGTCACAAGTATTTGCGATAAACTTCACAAGTAGCAAGGAATAATGAAAATACATGAGAAAAGTTCTGCTGCACCATCTACATAGGGGCATCACAGAACACATTTACAAAAATGTTGGTTTGTAAGATGTTTTCACTATCCATCAGTCATAATCCTGTCCAATAAGTCAGATTCAATTTCCACTGCAGTTTTTCAGAGAAGTAAGAATGGGATTAGACCTCCTGGGTTAGATTATGAGAAGCTTCCTACATCACAGGCTAAGAAAGCACACAGCTGTTGTAATTACTATTTGGAACTTTGTTTTAGTTTTCATTATTCCTTTTATTAAATATTTCCTGCTTAAAAAATAAGTGAATAGCTTAGCTAGGATACATGTAAATTTGTCAATAAAAATAAGCATGACCAAATAAATCCTGTGAAGATTAAGGTTGCTTTAAAATCCACTAAGTATCGTCTGCTACCATCAGTATTCTTAAATTCCAGAGTAAGATTTCAGTGGCTTAGAAATATTTAACATACCTAATCCATGGATTGTGTTGTAATCTATATCAGCACCACACACATACGCTCCAAAGTGAGCTGAGGAGATTAGAAGGCCACCTATAAAGGGAAGAAAAGGGGAAAAGTATAAACTGCTGTCATAAATGTTATCTGTGTTAGGATTTTTTTGCTCAGGAACTTCAGGAGTTTACACCAGTAGGACACTAGACCCAAAGCTAGACCCAAGGGGAAAAAAAAAAAAAAAAGAAATAAAAAAAGAGAATTAAAACTACCAACCAGTTAGAATCACTATGCAACTATAATCAGAAATAATAACACTAAGTTCCTTGTCTGTTATACCTGATCTTCCTTATCTTGCTATGCCTTATGTCACCCTTTATCTCTGGAGACTGTTCTTAGGAGTTCATTTAAGGTTTTCTGTATTTCAAGGCAATAAGATCCTTTAATCGTTACATGAACCAAAACTTTTAATTCTACTTTGCAAGGAGCAGGATTTCAAACTGTTGGCAAACAATCTGAAAAATCATCACCAAACAAATGGCAATTCTACCATGCCTGTTCTCAAAGTCAGTCTCCTTAACTGTGTCTAAAATCAAGCTTGTATAATGTGGCCATTCCCTGAGTAAGAAGCAATGGTCAAGAACCTTATAAATGTAAGTATCTTCAATGTGAGCAGCAATATCAAAAAAGTTTCCGTAATTGTTTTGCAGTGTGAAAGCTATATACAGATGCATTTTTTCTGTGAGTGTGCCACCTGTTTTGTCAGTACATTTATTAGCATACTCATCCTGCAATAAAACTAATTTTTAAATCACTACTATTGTGATCTGCTTTCCTAATTAAAAAAACCAACTACCAAAAACGCCTGTGTGATTTCCCCTTAAAACTGGACGATGGTTGAATAGCCCACAGAAAAGAGCAAATGACATTATCTCATTAACAGCTTCCAAATGGAAAAAAAAAAAAAGACAGACAGCAGAAGATTACTGTCCTGGTTTCAGCTGGGATAGAGTTAATTTTCTTTCTAGTAGCTGGTATAGTGTTATGTATTGGATACAGTATAAGAACAATGTTGATAACACACTGATGTTTTCAGTTAGTGTAAACACTGCTTAGCAACAAGTCAAGGATTTTTCAGCTTCTCATGCCCAGTCAGCGAGAAAGCTGGAGGGGCACAAGAAGTTGGCACAGGACACAGCCAGGGCACCTGACCCAAAGTGGCCAAAGGGGTATTCCACACCATGTGACATCATGCCCATGACCTCCCATATAAACTGGGGGGAGTTGGCCTGGGGGGCCAATGGCTGCTTGGGAACTAACTGGGCATCAGTCAGCAAGTGGTGAGCAATTGTACTGTGCATCACTTGTTTCATGTATTCCAGTTCTTTTATTATTATTATTGTCATTTTATTATTATTATCATTATTATTTTCTTCCTTTCTGTCCTATTAAACTGTTCTTATCTCAACCCATGAGTTTAACTCTCCCTCCCCCAATTCTTGCCCCCATCCCACTGGTCAGGGCCAGGGATGGGGAAGTAAGCGAGCACAGCTGTGTGGTGCTTAGTTGCTGGCTGGGGTTAAACCATGACAATTACCAGAGCTGTGTTGTCGAGTCATTAATAAGGAGGTACATAGCTAACAAAATGGTTTAAAACGGAACAGTGACTGAGAACAAGGTTGTGAACCCCACACAACTGATGTTAACTGCTTATGGATACAAACGGTCCTGCTAAAATAAAGGGGCAGATTGCTCCAGGACGAAGAGCTCACCAGCACAGGGAACAACATGCAAGCTAGCTGTGCCGGTGACACCAGTTCTCCCACTCACCAGCAGCATGAAGAGAAGCATCTCAGGCGGCTGCATTGCCCCACGCCACCCACTCAGCACCAACAAATCCCTAACACGCACTGTGTGCGCAGGCTAAAGATCCCATCTCAGGGCACTAGAAAACGCCTACACCATATGCTAATGAACTCTACCAAAACTGAAGCTGAGGGAGAAAGAGAAAAAAAAAAAAATTCCTCTGCTTTTTCTTGTGAAATGGATCAGGGAAAAGCAAGGTTACTCACCCCAGAGGAGTCACCCATTTCCCTTCTCGGCTGCAATCCCTCAGAACAGATGGGCAGTACCTCCAGAGGGTCAAGACAAATTTAGCTAGCCCTGACCCCAAGTATGGCATACCACCCAGTCCTATAAAAAAAGTAAGAAGAAAGTACTTTGCCCATCTAAGAATGTTTTTAATCACAGGGAAAAAGAAGTTAGGAAAACATGAACTTACAGCTTTTAATAAATCTCAGCTGGTACTAGTTCAATTGTGTTCAAACAGAAGGCGCATGAATACCTAAATACTCTCATACAGCCAGCCCTTTGACCTACTGTATCAAACAGATGTATACAAAGGGTGGATCACAGAATCATTGTGTCCCCTGATGACTATTAGCAGAATGATGATGGCACCGAACATCCTGCCTTTCTACCATACACTATTGCCCCCACCTCTTCAGCACAGAGAAGGGTCTGGTCATAGCACTATCCTCCAGGATGTCAAAGAAAAAATTCCTGTCATTTGCAATTATGCAGTATCATAAATTGGCAAAGGGAAAGTAGGGACAAGTATCTTGCAAAGGTACAAACAAGCAGCTTACTGAGATAGCTTGAACAGATTGTCTAGGAGGAAGTACAAAGTATTCAGGTAAAAGACTTGATTTATTCTTCCAGAAACCTGCAGGCCTCCTTCTGCCCAACACCGAGGAAAGAATATCTAAACAGTTTATGGAAGTTATGTTTTAGAACTCAAAAACAATCCTAGCCATTCCAATTCTGCTTTACAAAAAAGGGGAATCAAGTCTCTTAAACCAGACTGGTCAAAAGCACTTTTTATTCCAAGGACAAATTGCAACTGTCCACTCTTACACTAACATGGAAGACTTGTGATTTGGCTCATCCAGCAAAACCAGTTTGTCTCCAACAAGCAAGCACCATTTTGCAAGGCCATTCTGATTTGATACTATTTACCTTTTCAGCATAAAAACCAGGAAGAAATCAAGCCAGGTATTAATTAAAGTTGCACCAATAAAGAAATCTGAACTGCAGTTTCTTCAAAATACTCCTTTCCAAACCCATCAGCTCAGACTCACTGCATCACTCTCAATTCTGAGCTACCTCCCAAAATTCCAGGGGCAGGGCACTGTTGCACTGACAGTCTTGAAAATCCTCTAAAGGACCTCAAGAGACAATTGAAATTCCTGGGGTTTACTCACCAAAAGGAGGTGCAAAAGCCACTGTTTTGTTGTTTAGTCATAAGTACACTTTACTGACAAATGGCGTGCCACCCAGTATCTCCAGTGTCCCTACATACCTTTAATCTCAAGCCTATATATTACAGATGTCTAGTGCAATAAAACCACAAAAATTGCAATTCAAATCATTAGGCGATTTGGGGAGAATTTTGTATATATTGCCTTTTGAACTGAAATACAACTTAACATTTATCTTCAATTTCTACAGCTTCACCACTTCTGTGTGATTTTTCTTTCTCTAGCTTTACACTTCCTTTTTTTTTTTAATTTGATTTTCACTCCCAAGAGAATGCATGCTCTCAGAGAATTTTTTGTGATTTAGGTTTAGCATATTTTTGTAAAAAGACACAAAACCACAGACAGCAAAATAAAACAAACTGCTTCGAGATGAAGTAGAGGAATTTCCTCAGCGTTTCAAAGGGTACTACCTATGTGCAAGGAACAAAAGGAGGAGGAGGAGGAGGAGGAAATTTCATAAGACATTATTATGCACACAAAAATATTCAGGTTTTATATGAAGAAAAATTTAAGACAAAAACATCTAGTTCACCAAAGCCCTGTGTTTCCGAAAATATTATATCCCTGATCTGTTTTCCATGGTACAGAGAAGCCAAATGCTAATAAGAATTTGTCCTACTAGTGACCCTGTAGTGTTGTCTCCTCTTTCCCTAACTTCTCTGCAGTGATTTCTGCAGTTAAATCTCTTCATCCTCCCATTAATATATTTTTGTATGCATCTTACACACAGTCTTCTTGATCAAAGTTTAGCAAAATACAGGTCCGAAACACAGCCTTTGCTATGCTTTTGAAGAAACTACTATAGGTAGCTTAACACAATATACTCTTGTACAATTAAATGCCACAACCTGACACAACAGATCTTCTATTTCACCTGCAAAACGTCCGAGTTTCCCTTAGGTAAAAAGGGCTTCTATGCCACACACAGTAATATGTGGAATAAAAGCTCCCCCTCCTGGCTTAACTAAGAAAAGTTCAGCTGGGGGCAAATACATGGTGTGAATAATATTATCCTGAAGATGAGACGTGATGGTACAAGAAACTGATCGCTATTGAATGCTATGGCCAAACTATTGCTATATTGTGTTATATGCCCAGAAGTGCCCTCAGCACTCCTCTAAATAGCCACCTCCAAAAATGCTGCTCCTTGTAACATTCTGAAAGTGGCTGCAGGGAGTGCTCTATCCAAATTTCAGTTGTTAGTCACTTTGGATCTTAAGCAGTCCATCATATGCATGAACTGGCATTTAAGCCATGTTACATAAAATAATACAGTGAAGATAGATTTGTCAGAAGCATTTACATCTTCTGAAGTTGATCTCCCTCCCCCAAAATCCCTTTCAAATTAACAAAATATTCATTTTATAATCACCATTTTGCTTTTGGCACCACCTCAAGTATCAGTCAAGCACCAGAAGCCGCTGCACCAGGTAAAAGTATGTTAACTGCTCGCACCACAATCTCCCACTTTTTCCCGCCAACAGAAAAAAAAAGTGTATATACCTGTTCCAACAAATGGATCATACACTACATCATTGGGTTTTACTCTCCCATGGTTTGCCATAATGAAAGACAGGCAGGCATCCATGCTCGTATTTCCAATGAAGTGTCTCTTTTTTACACTATAGGACTCGATAAGTTCTCTTTGGCCATCTGCAATCTGTTGAAACATTTAAAATCACTGTCAGGTCTTAGATACAAGATATAAGCAGACAGGCTAACAGACTTGCTTAAGTGGCACCATCCAACAAACAGGTAACTCTTCATTTCATAACACATCACCTTGCTTTCTGCCATCTGAAAATATGACAGACTTCTTTCCAGGCAACAGATATCTTGGTTCAACACCTACATAAATTCTTCAAGACAGAGGTCAAAAATATACAAACAATTTAAAGGGAAAATTCTTCTGAAGAAATAAAAATCAGTGCAACTTTACTATTATTCTAGGTATCAGAAAAACAATTCCTGGCAATTCAGAGTTAAAAGAATTTCAAAATTATGAGGAGTAGAAATGCATGTTAACACATGCGTGCACATACACACACACATGCTTAAGGTAATGCAGAATTTCCATCTTCACTGGCATTTCTGTCACACTCAAAATCTAAATTTAGGATAGTGTTGACAGCTCGGAATTTACTGGAAAAACAAAGACCACATGCTAACATTTTTATATCAGACTTCCAAAATATGTTGAAGAGGACCAAAGCAATCTGGAAGAACACATGTTCAAAAGCTCTTCCAACACTATCCCCCAGCTCCAGCCAACATCAGTCTTACTGGGTAAACAAAATACACTTGCCTAATTTTTTCAGGTTGGTTTACTTGTTTTTAAACACTTCAGGAATCCAGCACAGATGGGACAACAGCTGCAATGTTTTGCAGTATTGCCACATCCTAGGGTGCTTTCACATTAATCACAGGCATGGAGAATATTTACAGGTGCGAACAGATCACTTGGATCTCTAATTTCTCTGTATTCAAGCCCCTGACCATAGCTGTATAATGTCAGCAGTGGTTCTCCCTCCTTCCAGCTGCCCTTGACCCAGGACATTGCAAGCACATATTCCCATCAGTGGCTGGTGTCATTCTGGAAGATGTCCTTCGGGAAGCCACTTTTTTTCCTCACAAAAAATAAAAGACCAGATCAGATTTCCTCAGGATATCCTAATAATGCAGCAGGTTTGGAGTGCATACACCAACAGGCAAGGAAGCCTGGAGTAAAGACCTCAGACGACAAGCTCCAAACAGTTTTTGGACGTGGTTCCTACTGTACAGCACTGCACTGTCAGTGTCCCTCCGGGTGAACCTCTACCTGTGGGCTGGACTCGCTGATGTCCAAATCCCCAGGGATCAATCAGCCCGTGCCTTTCCACGGAGGTGCCTGTCAGGACCACCCGAAGCACTTACAGAATGCTCCAGCCAGGCTGATGCAACTCAGGGGGGCCGCAAGGCATCTACGGTTCCTGTAAATCTGTCTTTGTGTTTGAAAAAAGCTGCTCCATCTGGGCCAACAATAATATAATACACCAGCATAGCTGTGCAGTCTCGCTGCTGTGTTGAGTTCCCTCAGTGGAGGACAAGATAAGGTGTGGTCCCAGATACAACTTCAATATTTTCCACCTCTAAAATGCCCAATTAACCTGCTTTTTCCTAGTCACAATAAGAGCTTTCAAGACTTGCCTAAGTGTATTATGCAGGGACAGATTCAGCCATAATTATATTGCCTGCTTCCATTAAGGCTCAACACAATTTTTTCCATTCAAATTGAAGAACACTTTCCTGAAAATACAAGCTCGTAAGAACTGAAGCAAGTGTACTCACGCACCCATCTACCAAAATACAGGTGAAAGGGCTCTTCTGGAACATTATTAGGATCCATTCCATAATCTTCCAAAATCCAGAAGATGTGTTCTGGATTCTTTAAATTTACTTTTCCTTTGAATGGCAGAAATTCAAGGGCCTATACAATAAAGAAAAACAGAGTAAAAGATAACAGGGTCAAATTATTGAAATACACAGCCCACACAAAAAAAAACAACAAAAAACAAACCACAATTCCACTTGTGGGAAATGATAGGTTAGTACTAAAAGTACATTCGCAATTTTCTCTGGATTTTTGAAATGCCTTTCTTGTGAATAAAGATAGCTCAAATGATTAAGGATTAGAAATCAGGGATAACTTTTTTATTAACTGAACAGAACCCAACTTTAGAGGAAATGAACTGTGCATATTAATTATGCAATTTTCAAGTTACAAAAACAACACGATGATGAACAATGAGATTTAAAATCTCAGTGGTGTGCAGCTACACCGATTTACATACTCAGCATTATTTCATGCACACAAAAACTAAACAAACAGGAAAGTACAGGAAACCTGTACTATTAATACAGGTAATTTCCGTCTCTGTAAATGAAGTAAATAGGATAAATAGCTGCTAGAAATAGAATGTGGATGAGCAAAAATTAACAGTAATTTAGAAAAATTTCCTAAGTAAAAATACTGATACATTTAGGAGGAGAGCACAGGTGCAGACAAGAGCATAAGGACAGAACAGGAAATCAGCACACAATCCACAGCTTGCAGCTGAAGTCACTGGACTGGCTTGTTCCGCATTCTACAGCAATAAATGCCTACTACAGAGATCAAGCAACAGATTTTCTAAAAGTCTAGCACCTAACTCCAGCCATTTGAATCTTACAGTTTTGGGCATTAAGCTTCAGCTTCCCCAGCACACTGGGCTGAAGTCAGCAGTGATATTTGTTTGTCTTTGTATATGCCTTACTTGGTCTATTTAGAAAAAAAAAAAAAAATACAAAGTCATGAATTTTGAGGAGCATGTTAATTTAGACACAAAGATCTCACTTAGAGCTGAGAAGGCATAAGCTGTAAACTGTTTTAAGATCTTCAGAAACCCAAACTTAAATACACTCTAGACAGCACTGATAGCATGGCATAAGAACAATGTGAATAGATTAAATGTCAAAGTTTTCTTAAAGATCTACTTACATCTATCTTTTTAACTTTCTGTGCTTGGGTCAGTGTTTTATTAAATGTATGAATGTGTACTTTGTAAGTAGAGTCTGACTGTAGATATGGAAGCTGAAAAAAAGGCAAAGACACTTTCATTAGTACAGCTGCAGTACTATTCAGCGTGATTAAGGAACCATATTATCCAGATACTTTATATGCATACCATCTTGTCCATTGGATAGTTCTTCAGACATGCATAGAGCTCCCCTGCAGATCTTCCATGACCCCACAGTTCAAATATAGACCTGAAATTACAAAGTCTTTTTAGAGTGCAGTCATACAGTGGAGGCGGCGGGGGGGGGAAAGCCCTGCAGATACTTACTCCTTTTAACCTTCTTCGCCAAAGGATTTAGGCTTTGCTTTATGGAGTACTGAAGTGCATTATTTAACTCTTGGCACATGCTTAAGTTTTGTTCTTAACAGGGACACACTTATTTTTAATCCTAAACTGGAATTCGATTAAGCTTTTACGTTTGGTAACGTATACTAAAAGGTAAATTTCCATCTTAAGTACCCTTAGATATCACCAAACCTTTTTCTGGTACACAGTGATACTAGTGAACGAGCCAAAATTCATCTGTACCTATCGATTCGGTGGGGTAAGCAAAGGCTGAAAAAGGTCAAGAACAGACTTTCAAAGTGTTACACTACCCTGGAGTAAAACAAATTGTGAAACTGTAACATCCTATGTATAATGACATCATCACAGGTTCTATCCCATTTTAAGACATGCTTATGATGTCTCATATTTTCAGATGTTTAAACACTATGCTGTCTCACACTTTTTTTGTTTCGTTTCCGTATTGCTGGCTTTAAGAAAAGCACTGCCTTGGAAGATGAGATAACTGATGCTACTGTAACGAAGGCACAACATCCCATCATAGACTTTTCCCCCAACATTAAAATATCCAAACTGAGTGGACTTTCCGTATCAAAGGAAAAAAAATCTTTTTTAGTACAGGAGTCCTAGGGCACTGCATGTATTGTTGGACACTCTTATGTGCATTTGCAACACATCGTAAACACAGCCTTTAAGGATTACCAGTGCCATGTAGTACCTTTTCAAAGATGACTCCTGAAAGCAAATCTTCAAAACATTCAAAGGTTGAGCTCACTCAAGCAAAAATAAGCGAGAACTACATTTTACTAAGTGACAATACCAGATACCAAGACCCAGTGGTAAGCCATTTTCTTCAAGTATTCCTTTCCTGAATAAATTATTTAAGGCTATATTTCTAACCTGCCTCTACCCTGAAAAAAAGTACATTTTTCACAGTGTCTAATTTTTCCTGAAGCATCTGTCTCTATCTACTGTGAGAATTTAAACTATATTTCTAGATGGAGCAATGGACATGTTGACAGCATAGGCTGTACTAGAGAGAACTGAATATTCATCTTTGAATTTTATTCAACTGTTGGGAGAAGAAGCTCTTACAACACCTTCAGGCCCACTTCTTACTTTTACACTTACATATGTATTGGAAAAAAACCCTGCAAAATGCTGGGGAGATCTTATTTAGATAAATGTATGCTTCAGAGCTTTTAATATTAATTAGCATTGCAATGGAGATGCTCCAGCAATCTTACACTAAAACTAACATATCTCCCCACAACCAGTAGTAGACCAGGAAAAAAGCAGGGGGCCAGTTATGCTTTCTACATAAAATAAGCATACATTAGTTGAAAGAGCATGGCGAATGGAATATCCGCAAGCTGTTTTGTCATGTTGTACTCCCTTAGTTGCCTACAGCTGCTTTTTGAAGTGCAGTACAGTTTATCCCCATTAGAAACATACTATCCTAAGGATAATTTTGTATACATGGGGTTTCTTTAGGGAAGAGTGTACAACCCAAGTCACTGTAGGTAAAACTGAATACATGACACAAGAAGCACTCAACAGGGGCCATGCAATGCTCTGCAGAGGTGCCCAAACTAACCCTGAACAGGACAGCACAGACATCCCAGATTTAGTATGATCAGAGAGCCATACCACAGCTGGGCTGCTTCTCATCCTGAACTGTGCCTCCAAGGTATCTCTCAAGCCTCACTGGAAAGCACGTTATTCAGACACCTCTAGAAAGGACGAAAAGGCACTGGAACAATCACTCTCTGGCATATTCCTGTGCTCTTGAACTTTCTAGAAGAACATCTGCTGCAGCAGTCTGGGCTGAGGGCTCAGATACCAGCGCTAGGAGGGTGACACAAGGAATCACTACCTTTCCCGTCCAAACTTGATTTTCAGTTTTTATGTATCACTGTTTTTATCTTTTAATTCCATACACATTTTAAAACAAGCAACTAACTAAACATTATTCAAGGAGACTAAAACATCAGTGACGCTACAAGACAAGTACTGGCTCTGCACTGAAGAACACTGTCTCAAGACCCTGTGCTGATCGTACACTAAGTAAAGAGGACAGGCATGCTACCATAATCAGTCCTACAGGCTCCAGTAACACCTCCTCAATTCTAGAGGTAATCAGAGACTACTTATTTTAAGACTCCATACAAAATTTATATTTGCCACAATATAGCAGAACAAATTTCCACCACCTAAGTTATCATTTACAAGATTTTTCACCTCTTACTTTGCACATACTGTCCGTTTCATTAGTCCCCTCGCCATCTCTTCTGAAGGAATACTGAGAATCCAAAATGGAGACTGAAATAAAGAGAAGATAAGTGATGCAAATACCTAGCTGGAAGATGTCACATGAATTACAGAACTACACAATTCTGTTCTATAAAAACTGAACATGCACGCTGAAGATTAAAAAAAAAATGAATAAAACTGTACAGAGAACATGAGGATAAAACATTTAATTTGAGGTAAAACTGTATATTCAGCTTGAATGTCTGAGAAATTTTATTAGGTATTTCATTTTCTCCCCTTATCTTTGACTTGGTAAAATCTTATTATTTGTTTATGCTTCTCTAGATTATTCATCCTCTTATGACCCAAAATACCTCATTACACATGAGTAGAACTAAAACCCAGTAACGTTCTCTGACTAAGCATTGAGACCAGAATCATACAGCTTCCTAGCTTCATTCTTCCAGACACGCTGTCTCATTGATTTAGAGGCAAACATCAAATTCAAACTGCTGCAGCATGTTTTCATGGTTCAGCTATTCTGAAAAGCAAGGAGAGCCTCCCAGCAGATGGCATTGTTTCTTTTCACACTGTTAAACGGAGGCATCCTGAGGCGCGTTTTGTGCATCTCTTACTCAGTTCCGAGTCTTTACTGAAATTGAGAACTGCTCGTTTTTAGAAGATTCCTTATTTTCCTAAGAAACTTCAAAATTTATTCAGCTATCCACATTTAATAAAAATACTACAAAGAACATACTTGTACACCATACACGCACTTGAGTAAAGTATTTGGTCCTCACTTACATTTACACGAATTTCCTGCTCGCTGCTGAATTGTCCACCGTAAAGCGAGAGCAAAGATGTTATTTCCTAAAGTGAAAATATAAAGGTCAGGCTTTAGGAGCATTAACTAATGTTTTAAAGCAAATAGTAAAAAGCAACGTGCAAAAGAAAGCCTTAATGAAAACAAGGAAAATAAATGATGCAATACACATTAAGTATTTTAAAACATGTGTAATGATGACCTACCAATTCTGACAAAAACCCTCTGCATTTCAGCACTGTTTTAAACAATATTACCCTGGATGTTGTATTACTAGCTCTTCAAGGTGGTGCCTAGGAGAGCACTTAGGGTATCGAAATTTGTTACAGGGTATAGTAACTCTGTAAGTCATCATGGGAAAAAAAACAAACAATCACAAGTTAAATTTACAAACAAGAGGGTTTGTTATAAACAGAAACTGAGCATATGCTAAAGCAGACATTCAGCAAGGACCCATAAAAACCACCAGGGACTCATAAAAAATACCAGGCAGCTTCAGGTACGTTACCATTTATTTTTGTTTTAATGATTTCCATGAATAGCACTTGATAAGGCAAAACCACTTTAGCGACAGGGAACGAACTCCGCGCCCCAAGTTTTGCAAACCAGCTGGCACAAACGTGTCAACGACAAGGAGGCTGCAGGATTTGAGCCAGGCCTGGCTGTCTCCGAAACCCAAAACGCTGCCGTCCCACCGCAGAAGCGGGTCCGCTCTCTCTGACCCTGAGTTGGCCAGATTGTTGGCAAACCCTTCTGGCGCAACGCTCAAACCCTTCTGGCCGCACAGGAGCGAACGCTCGGAACCGAAAGCCGAAAGCGAGCCGTCCTCAGGGCCAGCGGTGCGACGTGGAGGAGGGCGGCTGGTGACGAGGACGCCCGCCGAGGCCTTGGAGACCTTCTCCCTTGGATCCCGGCAGGCCCCAGGGCTTCAGAGAAGCCCCGTCCTCGCTGCTGCCCAAGTCTTCCCCTGGAAAATGAGGCTCTCCGCACCCTCCCGCCTCACGCCGCCCCACAAAGGCGTGCGACGGAGCGGGCCTCGCCTGTCCTCGGGGCAGCACCCGCTTACCTACCCGCACCACGCCGGCGGGAACACCTGCATGCTTCAAACGAACTAAAAAAGCCACCAAACCAAGACCTTTAAAAACGTGTTTGCAAACCCCCCCCTTTTTTTTTTTTTTTCCAGCCAGTTTCCATTTCCCCTCTGGAGCCCCCAGCTACTTTTCGCTGGCGACCTCTCCTAGCCCCAAAGGCTCTTGAAAGCGGCCGGGAAAGCGCTGCCTTAACGCCAGAGGCTCTCCATGGAGGCTGGGGGCAGGAGGAGGATGAGGAGGAGGAGGGAGGACGAGGAGGACGAAGCCTACGCCCGCGGCAAGGCCGAGGGGAGAAGGGGCGGCCCCGCGCTAGCCCGCCCGGACCTCCGCCTCAGCGGGCGGGCGGCCGGCAGCAGGCCCCGGCCCCG